GTGTCAGAGGCTGTTGCCTCGTAGGTGCTGATTAGACCAACATGATTCTTCAGAGGTCTGCTTACATCCTCTAAACGTGTATGCGACTGGTTCTATCTCTAAATACAGCCAATACCCATAGAGTGTCTTTCCTGTGGCGTACAGAAAGAAGAAATCCGCGCGGACATTAGGACATATCATCTCATTCTGTGTGAGTGTTCGCATGTTAGATGTATACGGACGAATGAGACCACCTCCTCCTTCAGAATGGACTACCAGAGGACAAGTGAACACCAGAAGGTGTAGCTGGACGATGACAAGGATCTGTTAGTAAGATCGTTCACCATGACTAGCCCATGTAGCTACGCTCTGTGTCATGTGCTCAGGACCTCCCAGGCCTGCTTTGGGCTGACGCCCTACCCAGGACATCAGCAGCATCTTGTGGAAGGTAAACGTTGTGTGGCGTGTTAGAGCGTCAGTTGTGTGTCCGAGTGTACGCTGTACTGTGCCCCCGTACCTGTCTACTTACTGCCTGCCTGTCAACTTACTGCCTGCCTGTCTACTTACTGCCTGCCTGTCTACTTACTGCCTGCCTGTCTACTTCGTCTGCGTCTACTTGCTTCATTTCTTTTTAGCACTTTTCTATTTGGTACTTGTCTACTTGCTACCTGTCAAAATATCTGTTTACTTGCTATCTGTATAATAACCTGTTTACTTGCTACCTGTCTAATAACCTGTTTACTTGCTACCTGTCTAATAACCTGTTTACTTGTTACCTGTCCAGATACCTGTTTGCTTGCTACCTGTCTAATAACCTGTTTACTTGCTGCCTGTCGTACGACAGCCGCTCACATAAATGATACGTAAATGGTCGATTAATATGGGCTCCCGGGCAAGTGCTGGGTCGGCTCATACGTTGACGATTCTGGTTCGGATCCTGATGGAGTTGGACTTTTGTCAAAAACAACCTTGGCTCCCAGGTCGACCTAGCCTTACAGGGATACCAGGTAAAATACTTGGGAAGTAAAGACGACCGGCTTGCTGTTGACAAACCACATCACTTATCAAGTACTGATTGGTCTATCCCTTTTTGCCCAATAGAGGCCAGGCGTTGGAAAAGGTTCTTTGCTAGGGAATCAGTTAACTTTCCGCGGCTTCTATGAGTGCCTATTAGTACTCCACTATTTATGTTTTCTCCCTTTAGCTACATTTGTGGGTGATGTCGGGCAACGGCGTCAGGTTTTTCGCCTGCCGCACATCACCTGTCTCACCTGCAGGGGTACTCACTCCCCCTGACAGCTTGTATCTACATACCTGTAGACTCACCTGGACCCCTCGCCCTCACCTCGTGCAATATCACACTGGAATGTGTGTTTCTCTGTTCTTCTATCGTTCTAGCCCAGTCTGTGGGAGATTGTCTTCTTGTGTTTTAGCTCAGCTTTGGCGTGTCCATGATTTCTCGGAGTGTAATCTTGAACTTACATTCTAGTAGTAGAATCTTTTAGTGCAGTCTATTTGTACGTTCTTGAAGATACTACATATAAGTATAATTTTTAAGTGCAGTTTTACAATCATGATCTAGGAATGCAGTCTGTTAGTGCAGTCTTGATCTTGGAGTGCAGACTTGAAGTTGTGATCTAGGAGTTCAGTCTACTAGTACTTTCTTGAAATGCAATCTTAGATTGCGATTCTGGGATAAAGACTATACACCTTTGGTGGTATATTCTCCAAGTGCATTCTCAAAGTGCAGTTTCGAAGTGCAGTCTCTAAATGTACAAATTAGGCAGTATAGTCTTGACGTACAATCTTTTATTATGATTGTGGAGCAGTAGCTTACTTGAAGTGTGTGCTAGTAGTCTCAGAGTCTGCTGTGCGAGGGGATCGCCATGTCTATGTGGTGCTCACCCTGCTACATGCAGCCACTTGCTGCAGACCCCCGTGATGTCAGTGGTACGTTTGTGTGTAGTTGTCATTCTTGTAGGTAGTTGTCATGGATGTTTCATGTTGTCTCTGTTGAATCATGCCTACGGATTTTGTTCACATCGTACCTAGCTCTGGTTGCATGTATTGCTTAGTATGCATAAACGGTGAATGGAAGACGAAGAATAGATACGTATGAGTTGTTACCTGCTTATGTGACTATTGTCTCCTATTGTTGCTTTTGTGTGCAGTAATTTACGATGTCGGTTAGTATTTTGATGGTTTGGCGTAAACCGTGATTTACTGTACGGTTTAGACTGCAATGAATTACTCGCTTTACATGCAACGTTATATTGAGTATAAGCACATTAGTTAATATACTTGTAGTATCATCTTTTTTTTGTGCATTTTGGTGACGTTACATTTTTAATTTCTTTACGGATGTGAGTTTTGTACTCTGATTATCCGCCTTAATTGATTTCATCGGTTATGTTTGTGTGGCGTCACCAATGCACAGTTTTTATTACTGCTGAGTGTATGTTGTATGCAATGTTGTTGTCTACTGGCGTCTGTTGGCTTTGTTAATGCCATATGCATTATGTTATTTGCTTTGGTAATGCCCTGTGCATTTTGTTATTGGTTGTAACTAATTCCTGTGCATGCATTTTACAGACGATGTTACGTGGCGTGCAGTATTTCCAGTGTATGCAACGTCCACGCAACTAATTCCATGTTCTTGCGTGTAATATATCCGCAGTTTATGCAACGTCCACGCAGTAATTCCATGTTCTTGGTGTAATATATCCGCAGATTATGCAACGTCCACGTAGTAATTTCATGTTCTTGCGTGTAATATATCCGCAGTTTATGCAACGTCCACGCAGTAATTCCATGTTCTTGGTGTAACATTTCCGCAGATTATGCAACGTCCACGTAGTAATTTCATGTTCTTGCGTGTAAAATATCCGCAGTTTATGCAACGTCCACGCAGTAATTCCATGTTCTTGGTGTAATATATCCGCAGATTATGCAACGTCCACGTAGTAATTTCATGTTCTTGCGTGTAATATATCCGCAGATTATGCAACGTCCACGTAGTAATTTCATGTTCTTGCGTGTAATATATCCGCAGTTTATGCAACGTCCACGCAGTAATTCCATGTTCTTGGTGTAATATATCCGCAGATTATGCAACGTCCACGTAGTAATTTCATGTTCTTGCGTGTAATATATCCGCAGTTTATGCAACGTCCACGCAGTAATTTTATGTTCTTGCGTGTAATATATGCGCAGTTTATGCAACGTCCACGCAGTAATTTTATGTTCTTGCGTGTAATATATGCGCAGTTTATGTAACGTCCACGCAGTAATTCCATGTTCTTGCGTGTATTATATCCGCAGTTTATGCAACGCCCACCCAGTAATTCCATGTTCTTGCGTGTAACATTTCCGCAATCTATACGACGTCCACGTAGTAATTCCATGTTCTTGCGTGTATTATATCCGCAGTTTATGCAACGTCCACCCAGTAATTCCATGTTCTTGCGTGTAACATTTCCGCAATCTATACGACGTCCACGTAGTAATTCCATGTTCTTGCGTGTATTATATCCGCAGTTTATGCAACGTCCACGCAGTAATTCCATGTTCTTGCGTGTATTATAACCGCAGTTTATGCAACGTCCACGCAGTAATTTCATTTCTTGCGTGTAATATATACGCAGTTTATGCAACGTCCACGCAGTAATTCAATTTTCATGCGTGTAATATTTTTTACTGTGTTGATGCAGTATTTCCGCAGATCGTACTGTGTAGATGCAGTGTTTTCGCAGTTCGTACTGTGTTGATGCAGTATTTTCGCAGTTCGTACTGTGTTGATGCAGTATTTTCGCAGTTCGTACTGTGTTGATGCAGTATTTTCGCAGTTCGTACTGTGTTGATGCAGTATTTTCGCAGTTCGTACTGTGTTGATGCAGTATTTTCGCAGTTCGTACTGTGTTGATGCAGTATTTTTGCAGTCCCTACTATGTTGATGCAGTATTTTCGCAGTTCGTACTGTGTTGATGCAGTATTTTCGCAAAGTTGTATACAGAATTTCACTGACGAGGCGTGCAGTATTTTCTTGATATTCCGTGATGATATTTATGCTTAAAATGTTGCTAACATTACAGAATGCGTTGTGTGCGTCTGTGTACTGTGTGTGTATGTGTGCTGTGTGCGTCTGTGTACTGTGTGTGTATGTGTACTGTGTGCGTCTGTGTACTGTGTGTGTATGTGTGCTGTGTGCGTCTGTGTACTGTGTGTGTATGTGTACTGTGTGTGTATGTGTACTGTGTGTGTATGTGTACTGTGTGTGTATGTGTACTGTGTGCGTCTGTGTACTGTGTGTGTATGTGTGCTGGTTGTTGTGTTGTTTCATGTTTCGAAAGTTGTTGTGTGCTTGTTTATTGTTGTATGTATTGATGAGTGTGCGTTTTTGTGTGTGTGAGTGTACTCACGCGTGTGTGGTGTATTCGTAGGTGTTGTCTGTGCTTTCTGTATAAGTGTGAGCGCTGTACTTCCTCCTGACTGTCCCGAGTGCTGTAGTGTGTGTACCCTGCCCTCACCCATTGTCCTTCTCCGAGTCTCTACCTCTTAACCCTTTCTCTCCCCTCACATTGTCGCTGACTCCACCCCTCCCTCTCTGCCCTGGATACTGCTCAGCTCCTGGTGCATGCTGTAAAACGTGAGCACTGCGGTGTGTCACAAGTACGGCAGTACTCACCCGCCAGGTGAAAACCAGCACACGCAGCAAGGTAAACAAACTGGGTCACGAGAAGTCGGGAAATCCCCCTTTTCTGTGACAACTACTGGGGCGGATTCGTGCATGCTGTGAATGTGGGACGTAAGTTTCGTTGCATGATTGTAGACTGGGGAAGAACGCCAGTTCTTTCTCTGTCAGGATTGTGGAAATGCATGAGAACACACGTGTTTCTTCAACAAGAACATATATACGTTCGCTTAGAGTGAAACTAATTACTTAACTAGCTGAGATCTGACGTAAGGACACTCGCGGTTGACTCTGACGGGTATAGAGATATTGTCAATTGTCAAGGAAATGCATGGTTGATTCTATGACTAGCCCAGACGCACGTTATGACGATGAATAATTCCTCACACTAGGATAGACTTGTTGCTTCTTCGTTCCGTTCAAGAGTAGAAGGTCGCCTTCACGGACGTGACTGGCAGCACACTGACTTTTGAGGTGGGGGTTGAAACCTCTTGCACAGTTGTTTGATGGTTGAAACAACGGATCAACATTATGGCACGAGGCTAGTAAACCCATAAGTGCTCCGTTCTACTTCTGACTCAAGTCTGAATTCCAACAATCTCAGCGCACTGCACCATCGCCGTAGCACCAGCGAGGCTCCTGACATACTTTAGGTGGATTTTTAACTCGAAAGTTTACTCGGGCAGCGCCGTCACGCTACTGTTTTCGATTTATAACTGCAAAGGGATTTTTCACGTGCGCAGCAGTACACGCGGGCGTCCGATCTTACTACCCAGAGACCAAGGGAAATTACTAGAAGTCTACATGAAATCATCCGAGCCCTTACCGAGGCCTGAACCCTAGTTAGTTTTAATAAATACACAAAAAAAAGGTTGGGGAGAGGAGGGGGGGGGAGGCAGTGTTAAAACAAAAAAGGTTGGGGAGAGGGGGGGGGGGGGAGGCAGTGTTTAAAAAAAAAAGCTGTAGAATTGGTTCTTCATTTATGTCTGCCTTCTGTCATCAGCGCACAAGTATTGAGTCAGGTCTTGTCAGGCCCTTTCTAGACTTTCTATCTTTTCCGACCATACTGTTATATTGCAAACATGGGACTCACAGCCCATGGCGAGGGTTATATTGTGCTCTGAACAAACATGAGACTCACAGTCCGTGGCCAGGGTTATATTGTGCTCTGAGCAAACATAGGACTCACAGCCCATGGCGAGGGTTATATTGTGCTCTGAACAAACATGGGACTCACAGTCCATGACCAGGGTTATATTGTGCTCTGAGCAAACATAGGACTCACAGCCCATGGCGAGGGTTATATTGTGCTCTGAGCAAACATGAGACTCACAGTCCGTGGCCAGGGTTATATTGTGCTCTGAGCAAACATGGGACTTACAGCCCATAGCGAGGGTTCTATTGTGCTCTGAGCAAACATGGGACTCACAGTCCATGGCGAGGGTTATATTGTGCTCTGAGCAAATATGGGACTCACAGCCCATAGCGAGGGTTATATTGTGCTCTGAGCAAACATGGGACTTACAGCCCATGGCGAGGGTTATATTGTGCTCTGAGCAAACATGAGACTCACAGTCCATGGCCAGGGCTATATTGTGCTCTGAGCAAACATGAGACTTACAGTCCATGGCGAGGGTTCTATTGTGCTCTGAACAAACATGGGACTCACAGTCCATGGCGAGGGTTATATTGTGCTCTGAACAAACATGAGACTCACAGTCCGTAGCCAGGGTTATATTGTGCTCTGAGCAAACATAGGACTCACAGCCCATGGCGAGGGTTATATTGTGCTCTGAACAAACATGGGACTCACAGCCCATGGCCAGGGTTATATTGTGCTGTGAGCAAACATGGGACTCACAGCCCATAGCCAGGGTTATATTGTGCTCTGAGCAAACATGGGACTCACAGCCCATAGCCAGGGTTATATTGTGCTGTGAGCAAACATGGGACTCACAGCCCATGGCGAGGGTTATATTGTGCTCTGAGCAAACATGAGACTCACAGTCCGTGGCCAGGGTTATATTGTGCTCTGAGCAAACATTGGACTTACAGCCCATAGCGAGGGTTCTATTGTGCTCTGAGCAAACATGGGACTCACAGTCCATGGCGAGGGTTATATTGTGCTCTGAGCAAACATGGGACTCACAGCCCATAGCGAGGGTTATATTGTGCTCTGAACAAACATGGGACTTACAGCCCATGGCGAGGGTTATATTGTGCTCTGAGCAAACATGAGACTCACAGTCCATGGCCAGGGCTATATTGTGCTCTGAGCAAACATGAGACTTACAGTCCATGGCGAGGGTTCTATTGTGCTCTGAACAAACATGGGACTCACAGTCCATGGCGAGGGTTATATTGTGCTCTGAACAAACATGAGACTCACAGTCCATGGCGAGGGTTATATTGTGCTCTGAGCAAACATGGGATTCACAGTCCATGGCGAGGGTTATATTGTGCTCTGAGCAAACATGGGACTTACAGCCCATGGCGAGGGTTATATTGTGCTCTGAGCAAACATGGGACTTACAGCCCATGGCGAGTGTTATATTGTGCTCTGAGCAAACATGAGACTCACAGTCCATGGCCAGGGCTATATTGTGCTCTGAGCAAACATGAGACTTACAGTCCATGGCGAGGGTTCTATTGTGCTCTGAACAAACATGGGACTCACAGTCCATGGCGAGGGTTATATTGTGCTCTGAACAAACATGAGACTCACAGTCCGTGGCCAGGGTTATATTGTGCTCTGAGCAAACATAGGACTCACAGCCCATGGCCAGGGTTATATTGTGCTCTGAGCAAACATGGGACTCACAGCCCATGGCCAGGGTTATATTGTGCTGTGAGCAAACATGGGACTCACAGCCCATAGCCGGGGTTATATTGTGCTCTGAGCAAACATGGGACTCACAGCCCATAGCCAGGGTTATATTGTGCTGTGAGCAAACATGGGACTCACAGCCCATGGCGAGGGTTATATTGTGCTCTGAGCAAACATGAGACTCACAGTCCGTGGCCAGGGTTATATTGTGCTCTGAGCAAACATTGGACTTACAGCCCATAGCGAGGGTTCTATTGTGCTCTGAGCAAACATGGGACTCACAGTCCATGGCGAGGGTTATATTGTGCTCTGAGCAAACATGGGACTCACAGCCCATAGCGAGGGTTATATTGTGCTCTGAGCAAACATGGGACTTACAGCCCATGGCCAGGGCTATATTGTGCTCTGAGCAAACATGAGACTTACAGTCCACGGCGAGGGTTCTATTGTGCTCTGAACAAACATGGGACTCACAGTCCATGGCGAGGGTTATATTGTGCTCTGAACAAACATGAGACTCATAGTCCATGGCGAGGGTTATATTGTGCTCTGAGCAAACATGGGATTCACAGTCCATGGCGAGGGTTATATTGTGCTCTGAGCAAACATGGGACTCACAGCCCATGGCGAGGGTTATATTGTGCTCTGAGCAAACATGAGACTCACAGTCCGTGGCCAGGGTTATATTGTGCTGTGAGCAAACATGAGACTCACAGCCCATAGCCAGGGTTATATTGTGCTGTGAGCAAACATGGGACTCACAGTCCATGGCGAGGGCTATATTGTGCTCTGAGCAATCATGGGACTCACAGTCCATGGCGAGAGCTATATTGTGCTCTGAACAAACATGGGACTCACAGTCCATGGCGAGGGCTATATTGCGCTGTGAGCAAACATGAGACTCACAGTCCATGGCCAGGGTTATATTGTGCTCTGAGCAAACATGGGACTCACAGTCCATGGCGAGGGCTATATTGTGCTCTGAACAAACATGAGACTCACACTGGTGTTGCTAAAAAAAACGAAAAACTTCTTGCCTCTTTCAACCGGCTCCTAGATTGAGCTTTGGTTATATCGAAGCGGTGTTTTGTTGTCTGGAGTTTTGTTATCCAGTTATAGTCGTTTCTGTTGTGGCGATTTACATTTCTGCCTGAGGTTAGTTGCTTCTGTCAGAGTGAGGTAGGTGGGCGTGGCTGGGCGGCGGACATATGTCATCTGGTTGTGGGCTGTGAGGTTTCTCAGGGCTGGTGGGCGTGGTTGTTCAGCTGTCATGGCGGCTTGTGAGGTTTTTATTGGTTGCTGCATGTTGGCTTTCAACTTGTTTACTTCACGTGGGTGTCGTTTTCCGTTTGAGTGGGCTGCTATCTTCGTTTTGTTGTTTCTTATGCTTTCGAGTTGAAGATGCCGGGTGGCTTCTTTGAGTTGCTTCACCTCCTTGTTGATTGCTGCGAGTCGCCTTTCAGGCATTCCTTGAGGATGTATAGGTCTTGTGTGCACTTCTTCTCTAGATCTCCGGGTTTCACGTGTGCGTCGTGGATCTGCCTTTTTCTGTCTTTTTCTTTCTTCGCGTTTTCTCTGGCTTCTATCACTCTGTGCGTGGCTTCGATTACACAGCTGAGTTTGTCGCATTCATTGTTTGTCTCGGCTACCTCTGCTTTTGTTTTTGTCAGGTCTTTCTTGATGGTGGCTATCTCGGAAAGTATACTTTTCTGGTTGTCTTTCAGTTCTTTGGCGGCTACTGCGTCTGTTTCCTTTAACTTCTTGAGGTCGGTTAGATTTGCCATCAATTCTGTTTTGAACTTCGCCATTTCTGTATTTTCCTCCTCGAGTCTCCTTTGGGTCTCGAGAGATGCCTGCAGGATGCTTCGCAGGTCTATCATCTCGTCCCTGTCCTGAGTCCTGAGTGCCATGATTCGTGCGTTCTCTTCTCGCAGGGATTTGATTTCGTCTCTCAGCTGCGTAATGACGTTGTTGTTCGCAGCTGTCGGACTGGGCGCCTGATATCTTTGCTTCGGCTCTGGATTGTGTGTGGTCCTGGTGGTGGAATTCGCCATCGCTCTCTTGACTTCTTTCAGGTACGGGCAACCCATGTACCTGGCGCTGTGTGCACCGGAGCATGAGACTCACAGTCCGTGGCCAGGGTTATATTGTGCTCTGAGCAAACATGGGACTCACAGCCCATGGCGAGGGTTATATTGTGCTCTGAGCAATCATGGGACTCACAGTCCATGGCGAGAGCTATATTGTGCTCTGAACAAACATGGGACTCACAGTCCATGGCGAGGGCTATATTGTGCTGTGAGCAAACATGGGACTTACAGCCCATAGCGAGGGTTATATTGTGCTGTGAGCAAACATGAGACTCACAGCCCATAGCCAGGGTTATATTGTGCTGTGAGCAAACATGGGACTCACAGTCCATGGCGAGGGCTATATTGTGCTCTGAGCAATCATGGGACTCACAGTCCATGGCGAGAGCTATATTGTGCTCTGAACAAACATGGGACTCACAGTCCATGGCGATGGCTATATTGCGCTATGAACAAACATGAGACTCACAGTCCATGGCCAGGGTTATATTGTGCTCTGAGCAAACATGGGACTCACAGTCCATGGCGAGGGCTATATTGTGCTCTGAAGAAACATGAGACTCACAGTCCATGTCCAGGGTTATATTGTGCTCTGAGCAAACATGGGACTCACAGTCCATGGCGAGGGCTATATTGTGCTCTGAACAAACATGAGACTCACAGTCCATGGCCAGGGTTATATTGTGCTCTGAGCAAACATGGGACTCACAGCCCATGTCCAGGGTTATATTGTGCTCTGAGCAAACATGGGACTCACAGTCCATGGCGAGGGCTATATTGTGCTCTGAACAAACATGGGACTTACAGTCCATGGCGAGGGTTATATTGCGCTATGAACAAACATGAGACTCACAGTCCATGTCCAGGGTTATATTGTGCTCTGAGCAAACATGGGACTCACAGCCCATGGCAGTGGTGAGTGAGACTGGCTATACCCGCCAGCGTTAAGAAGTCTTCACGTCCGAGACCAGTTAAGGCCATGGGTAAAGTTCGTCCTGTTCACAGCTTAAAGCTGGGCAGTATTGTAGAATGCCTATGTTGCTGATGCATCACGATCTCTCACTCGGCGTGCCTTGTTTACTTCGGTGGAAAGGTAACACCCATATGTTTGGAACACATACAGCGAGTATATATACTGTAGATAATACCCAAGCATGCAAAAATTCACGCATATTATAATGTAGACACTAACATGCGCGCACATACGCATACACACGGAGAAACAAACGCACACACGGGCAGTTATGTTTCAACGTAAGCCACTGTTCTAGTTTAGGCATGGCCACAAATAGCTCTCTCCCCCCGACTCTCCGCCCGCAGAAGCTGCTGGATAATAAAGCAGTTAGGCTAAAGTGCACGGTGTTCTTCGCAGGCAGGCAGGCAGATGTTTGCAGGTCCAAGATCCAGGTGAGCTCGGCGCTCGACCTGGCCAGGTGAGCAAGCTACTGACGACGGAGGGGGTGGTGGAGACAACAAATGTGATTGTGAGACTGTCAGGAGAGCGACAAAGGGAGTGTGAGAGACGGGGACAGGAATAGACTGGGAGAGATACGGGAAGAGACATATACAGATAATCAAACACACACAGAGAGAGAGAGAGAGAGAGAGAGAGAGAGAGAGAGAGAGAGAGAGAGAGAGAGAGAGAGAGAGATAGAGAGATTATTCACATACACACATTAAGCCTCGCAGGCACTCTACGCTGTAATTTGTCTTTAAACGCTCTATGAATTCCATGATTTCGGTTTGCCCCTGTGGACAGTAAGGTTTGACCGTCCTGCGTTTACTGAAGTCTCTGGATGAGATGCCAACAGAGCATATCTCAGTTAGCGCCTTCAGCCTTCACAGAAGTTGTCTCTGCGACCATTGTCTCGGCCTACAACTGCCGGCTATAGTCTGCCGTGCTGTATGAGAGACCAGAAACATTTCTGGCGAGATCCTACTTAGCTGACAATGATGCTTGACTACAAATACATGTGTACGTTGGTCATCATCGCCCTGCTATCATCGCCGTTTCACGACAGTTAAATTCATCGTAATTGTTGTTTAACGTTATGTTCGCACTACCACTATTACTACCACCACCACCTTCATCATCATCATCGAGGTCATGAAACTTGTAATTATTATACTTATTATCATTTTACTTATACTGTCACTTCTTTATTTTTTCTTTCTTTTTTCTTCTTCTTCTTTTTCTTCTTCTTCTTCTTCTTCTTCTTCTTCTTCTTCTTCTTCTTCTTCTTCTTCTTCTTCTTCTGCTGCTGCTGCTGCTATTGCTGCTACTGTTATTGCCAGCATAAAAGACGTTTGCATACAGTGCGCTTATCGTAACCTGTTACATTAGCTCCGTTTGTAAAAGGGCGGTAACCAAAAGATTGTAGCTAACTAACTTGTGAAGTTGCAGTTACGTCCCTTGACGCAGTGACGAACCTATGGGCGCTCAGTCGGCAGGTAACACAAACATCCCACAATAGCTACTGTTGTTTCATCCCGCCGTGTACACCACACACATCTTACAACAGCTACTGTTGGTTCACCCCGCTGTGTACACCATAGACATCCCACAACAGCTGCCGTTGGTTCACCCCGCCGTGTACACGACACACATCCCACAACAGCTGCCGTTGGTTCACCCCGCCGTGTACACCACACACATCCCACAACAGCTGCCGTTGGTTCACCCCGCCGTGTACACCACAGACATCCCACAACAGCTGCCGTTGGTTCACCCCGCCGTGTACACCACAGACATCCCACAACAGCTGCCGTTGGTTCACCCCGCCGTGTACACCACACACATCTTACAACAGCTGCCGTTGGTTCACCCCGCCGTGTACACCACAGACATCCCACAACAGCTGCCGTTGGTTCACCCCGCCGTGTACACGATATCCCAGACTAGTTTAACACCACTATCCTACAGTGTAGCTTTCAGTTGTCTGTTATGCTGTCTGTAGCGTCTGGCTAGAAGGATGTCTTGTTGCCACTCTCCTCGTGCAGATGATGCTAGACCCTCGCCTTAACCTCCTTTGTCCTTTGAACCACTTTCCCTAGTGGTAACATCTTTCCTGTCTTCGTCTAACATTGTTCCTTCTCTGGCTCATAGGTGATCACTGCTATGTGAAGATGGAGGTTTGCAAGGGCCCAATGTAAGACGGGCCTGCGTGCACAGTTTGTGACCTTTTAAAAAACAGTTCATTCGTTCCCTGTGAGTACATGACACAGGCTGTCGGTTCGCTCTTTAACAGTAGTCTCTCTCTCTCTCTCTCTCTCTCTCTCTCTCTCTCTCTCTCTCTCTCTCTCTCTCTCTCTCTCTCCCTCTCTCCCCCTCTCCCTCTCTCTCCCTCCTCTAAAAACACATATAAACTCATTAGCCCCTTACACGATGTTATGAGTTGGATTATCTTCACAGCACTCCGGACACATCCATAGGCGCTCAGATTCCCCTCTCAACATATTCATCAGCGTCGCGCGGTTAATAGTGCCAGTCCTATGCTGGTTGACAAGACTTCTTGTTCGTCTGGTGTGCTCCTCGTGCTTGGCGGTGTCGATCTTTACTCATAGTTCTCGTATTCTTAGCAGTGATGTGGACACGTTGCTTCCAAACTCATCAGAACGTCCTATCCCTCTAACAGCATTGACATTGTCTGCGTGATCCATGGGCCGGCCATTTTCAATTATTGTGGCACCTACCAGTCAGTCTATCAGCTCTTTCATTACCAACAACACCTGCATCAGCTGAGACAAATATGAAGGTAATTGCACACACAGGAGAGTTTTGCAATGACACAAACCACTGTCTGCGCAACCAGCCAACCTCCACCCGCCGGATGATGTTCAAGCAATCACTCAGCACACAAACGCGGGAATAGTCATGTGATTCTAGTAAATTGAAAGCTTGTGTCACCGCCATCACCTCCATCGTCATGCTGCTGGTAGTCATGGAGAAGGCACCGCTGGCTTCTTGAACTGTTCTGCCTGAAGAGCGAGCTGTAAATGCCCATGCACTCTGATGCCCTCCTATAACGGATCTGTGAAGATCAGCACATCTATCTCATCTGGTATACCTGGGCATTGACAGCAGCTGGATTCTGCTCCCGACAACTCCTATCAAGCGTCACGACACAGGAGAATGTGAGATTGGGCGCTTTAGACGCTGGTATCCATTCCTCACCTGGATTGATATCTGTAAGGCTGCAAACCTGCATGATGTCATCCTCTGCCCTACCCATGCATGATTTGCTACTTTTAAGTCGATTTTCCTTTTTCCTGAAGAATTATGAAGTGTAAAGGGTGCTTCAGATTGGAGCTTATCTTGAGCTTTGCACGAGCTGTCCAGATCTTGATCTTGTAGTTCTTGATAGGGAAGTCAAAAAGGTACCTCATTGCTACACAAGAGATGTCTCCAGTGCATCCCAGAATAAAGCGCTTTGCTTCGTTTTGCACCTTCTCAAGTCTTTCAGTCTAAGTATGGTTGACAGTGAGGATGGCTAGAGCATATTCGAAAGTACAAGTCCCTAGAACAGAAGCAGAAGCAGTCTTTGCTCAGTATTACCGGCGGCCAGGACCCTCATAGCTGACAAGCATTTGCGTGCTTTTATTATAATCTGTGTTGTGCCCTTAGTGAAATGTTAATGTCTAACTGTCCCAATCTGCACTGGCATATCCACTTACCTGGACAAGGACACAGTTTCGTTTCTGTTGCTGTTATATCTGTCATCACATCTACCACGAACAACGTTTGGTAAACTATAATGTCTCCTCGTTTTACTCTTCAGTCATTGTCTCCTAGCAGTGTCCCAGCATGTCCTGTTTACATTTCAGAAAAGACGTCGGGATCTAAGATGTTGAAGAAGGCCCAATCCTTCCGGGAGGACATACGTAACCGGATCCGGCGGCGACCTTCCACCGGAGTCCAGCAGATGTTTCCTGAGGGCAAGGCCAAGAGAAAAGAGGACGGAACTGGGACTGAACTCAACCCCGCTGATGATGTGAGTTGTGTCTCTTCGTTATATGTTGCCATGGTTTCTGTTGTTTACTTGAATGTGTTTCTGTTTGGGTCCCTTGGGACTCATCTCTCTGTGTCTCTCATTTTTTAAACCACCTTTCTTTCTTTCTTTCTTTCTTTCTTTCGTTCTTTCTTTCGTTCTTTCTTTCGTTCTTTCTTTCTTTCTTTCTTTCTTTTTTTCTTTCTTTCTTTCTTTCTTTCTTTCTTTCTTTTCTTTCTTTCTCTTTCTTTCTTTTCTTTCTTCTTTTTCTTTCTTTCTTTCTTTCTTTCTTTCTTTCTTTCTTTCTTTCTTTCTTTCTTTCTTTCTTTCTTTCTTTCTTTCTTTCTTTCTTTCTTTCTTTCTTTCTCTCTTTCTTTCTTTCTTTCTTTCTTTTATTATTTCTTTATTTCTGTTATAGCATGCCCTGCCATTGCTCCTAGCTGTCAACCTTGATCTACCCCCCCCCCCCAATAACTGCATCATGTCTCCCGTTTGTCTGTCTGCCTCTGTCCTAAGATAACTCCCCGTTTCTATTTCCCCCTTCCTCCGTGCCCTATCTTCGTCTCTGTCCTCCTACCATTCTTCGTATAGGTGTCTTCCCGCAAATCTGTCTTCATCCCCTCTTTAAGCTCCCTTTTGTCCGTTTCCTTAAACTTTTCCTTCCTTTCTCCCTCGCACCCTTTCTTTGTAAAATCTCTTTTACTCACTTTCATATCTTCCTCCCCCTCTTCCCGATCCCTCTCTCAATTCTCTCTTCACACCCTCCCTTTGTCCGCTCCCCCCCCCCCGGGCCGCCTTTTGCCTCTTGCTCACTCCTCAAAACACGTCCTCCTGCTGCTCTGTCTCCCCAGGAATCTCCCTGGAAACTCCTTCGCTTCCTCTGGTTTTTCTATTGTCTGAAATCCCTCTTCTTCTTTCGATCTCTCTATTCTTAGTTTTCTGTCTCTTGACTGAATTCCCCCCCCCCCCCTCCCGCCTTTATTTTCCCTTTCCTTTCTCTATTTACTCCTTTACGTAAAACGTTATCTCCTTTTCCATTTTTTCTGACTATTTTTTCTCTGTCACTCAAACCTCTCTTTCTCTTCTCTCTGTCGCTCTCTCCTTCCTTTCTCCCGGTCTGTCTGTCTTCGTTGTCTGTCTCTAGTCTGAAACATCCCTCTCTTCCTGTCCTTTCCCTTATCTGAAATGGTTCTTCATCTCCCCTCAGACTCTCTACTTTTCTCTGTCTCTTGTCTTTGACCCCCACCCTCCGCCGACCCGTCCACATCTGCTACATCTTCACCTGTTGTCTTTGATGCCCATCCCTGAACCCTCTTCTGTCTATCTGTACGCCATCTCATTATTACCTAATATGTGCGCCTCCGTAGCTTTCTCGATAGCCCCGCATCTCTTTGCTCCCCCAACCCCTTTCTGTTTAGCCTTATTGTGCACGACAAAGAAAGACACGACTGATAAGACCTCTTTGTATCAGGATAATAGAATGGAGACAGAGAAAGCAAACATGAAAAAAATAGCAAGGGTGAATAGCTGCGGCTGAAGAGATATTTCTGGCCAGAACTAATCAGGCAATCTGTCACGCCTGGGCCAGTTTTAGCTCTGTCAATACAAGTCTTCCTGCCGGCAATGACGTCACGTCTAGGTCACGCATTGGGCAATAATTGTTCTCTAACCCACGAGCTGGCCACCCCTCGGCCTCACCTCGGCCATAGATTTGTGACTCACGCATGTAGCAGTGGCCACTTGAGGTCGTTAGCTGCTAGTTGAGCACGCCTAGCGTGTCAGGTGATGGATTGTTGCTGCGATGTGGTCCCTCCTGGCTGCTTGATTCACGCTCATCCCCTGAAGGAGGGAAGCCAGTCCGGCCGGCCAAACGTCCATGTCGACGTGCAGGCACGTGAATGACCCTTGTGGAATGAAACCCTTGACGTTGATGGTTCCTAGTCAAACAAGAACCGTGGACCCCGTCTCCCTTTCCTATTCTCAGTCGGCGACAGACCCCATACAGTTTAAGTCATATTCAAGGAGAATTGGCTCGTAAACAGCATCTCCTCCCGAAAGCTGAGGTATTTTTGACAAGTCAAGCGCTATGGTGGTCTGGAGGATAAAGTTTCCGGAAAACGGGGCAGAGGCCGACTTCCGCGAACGTAGATACAGGACGATGCATTGACCTTAAAAGAACACAGGGCTGGACAAATGGCTAGAGAAAGAGAGACTTTTAAACGTGTCGTGAAGAGATCTACGTTCTGTAGAAGACATGTTAATTGACTGATTTATTGAAAAAAAGGCGAGTAAATCAATATTAGAATCGTTAAAAAAGGGGGTGGGGGGGGGGGGGTGTTAGATTGGTTGTAAGTGATATCATTATCGTCTTTATCATTCCCCTGTTTAGCCATTTAAATAACATGTCATATAGGACTCGTAGTCTAATCCTCTATCCTAGTTTATCCAGTGCAATCCTTTCGACACATGGGTGACATTCAGTCCGACAGCTTCATCCTCTCTCATGGCCATTGGTTGCAGGGTTTCTTTCTGGACGTCCTTATTTCTCAGTCTCATGGCCATTGGTTGCAAGGTTTCTTTCTGGACGTCCTCGTTCCCCAGTCTCATGGCCATTGGTTGCAAGGTTTCTTTCTGGACGTCCTCGTTCCTCAGTCTCGTGGCCATTGGTTGCAGGAATTCTTTCTGGACGTCCTCGTTCCCCAGTCTCATGGCCATTGGTTGCAAGGTTTCTTTCTGGACGTCCTCGTTCCCCAGTCTCGTGGCCATTGGTTGCAAGGTTTCTTTCTGGACGTCCTCGTTCCTCAGTCTCATGGTCATTGGTTGCAGGAATTCTTCCTGGACGTCCTCGTTCACCAGTCTCGTGGCCATTGGTTGCAAGGTTTCTTTCTGTACGTCCTCGTTCCTCAGTCCCATGGTCATTGGTTGCAGGAATTCTTCCTGGACGTCCTCGTTCCTCAGTCTCATGGCCATTGGTTGCAGGAATTCTTTCTGGACGTCCTCGTTCCCCAGTCTCATGGCCATTGGTTGCAGGAATTCTTTCTGGACGTCCTCGTTCCTCAGTCTCTTGGTCATTGGTTGCAGGAATTCTTTCTGGACGTCCTCATTCCCCAGTCTCATGGCCATTGGTTGTAAGATTTTTTTTTCTGGACGTCCTCGTTCCCCAGTCTCATGGCCATTGTTTGCAAGGTTTTTTTCTGGACGTCCTCGTTCCCCAGTCTCATGGCCATTGTTTGCAAGGTTTTTTTCTGGACGTCCTCGTTCCTCAGTCTCATGGCCATTGGTTGCAAGGTTTCTTTCTGGACGTCCTCGTTCCCCAGTCTTCCTGCCATTGGTTGCAAGGTTTCTTTCTGGACGTCCTCGTTCCCTAGTCTCATGGTCATTGGTTGCAGAAATTCTTTCTGGACGTCCTTGTTCCTCAGTCTCATGGTCATTGGTTGCAGGAATTCTTTCTGGACGTCCTCTTTCCTCAGTCTCATGGTCATTGGTTGCAAGGTTTTTTTCAGGACGTCCTCGTTCCCTAGTTTCATGGCCATTGGTTGCAAGGTTTTTTTCTGGACGTCCTCGTTCCCCAGTCTCATGGCCATTGGTTGCAGTGTTTTTTCTGGAAGTCCTAGTTCCTCAGTCACATGGCCATTGATTGCAAGGTTTTTTTCTGGACGTCCTCGTTCCTTAGTCACATGGCCATTGGTTGCAAGTTTTTTTTCTGGACGTCCTCATTCCTTAGTCTCATGGCCATTGGTTGCAAGGTTTTTTTCTGGACGTCCTCGTTCGCCAGTCTCATGGCCATTGGTTGCAAAGTTTTTTTCTGGACGTCCTCGTTCCCCAGTGTCATGGTCATTGGTTGCAAGGTTTCTTTCTGGACGTCCTCGTTCCCCAGTGTCATGGCCATTGGTTGCAGTGTTTCTTCTGGACGTCCTCGTTCCTCAGTCTCTTGGCCATTGGATGCAGGGTTTCTTCTCGACGTCCTCGTTCCTCAGTCTCATGGCCATTGGTTGCAAGGTTTTTTTCTGGACGTCCTCGTTCCCCAGTCTCATGGCCATTGGTTGCAAGGTTTTTTTCTGTACGCATTCGTTCCTCAGTCTCATGGCCATTGGTTGCAGTGTTTCTTCTGGAGGTCCTCGTTCCTCAGTCTCATGACCATTGGTTGCAGTGTTTCTTCTGAAAGTCCTCGTTCCCCAGCCTCATGGCCATTGGTTGCAAGGTTTATTTCTGGACGTCCTCGTTCCCCAGTCTCACGGCCATTGGTTGCAGTGTTTCTTCTGGACGTCCTCGTTCCTCAGTCTCACGGCCATTGGTTGCAGTGTTTCTTCTGGACGTCCTCGTTCCTCAGTCTCATGGCCATTGGTTGCAGTGTTTCTTCTGGACGTCCTTGTTCCCCAGTCTCATGGCCATTGGTTGCAAGGTTTTTTTCTGGACGTCCTCGTTCCTCAGTCTCATGGTCATTGGTTGCAAGGTTTCTTTCTGGACGTCCTCGTTTCCCAGTCTCATAGCCATTGGTTGCAAGGTTTTTTTCTGGACGTCCTCATTCCTCAGTCATCTTAATTTCCCACTGCAGTGCCTGTTTGGTGAATCGCTACCTCCTTCTCCAGATGTGCCCAGTATAGCGCCTTATTCTTTCTGTGAAACTGTGTTACCGGTACCAAATGTGATCATGGAGCTCTTACATTTGTCTGGAAAACACCAGTCTACGTCATACCTTCTTTCTGTCATGCCGCCCGCCTATTGTATCTGTGCCAGCGATTGCGCAACCCAGGATCCGTAAAATCAGATAGACGCAAAAGGAATACAAACAGACGGCAGCACTTTTGTCAAGACACGGGGACAGTCACACAGTACAGCCGTGAATACAGTTTGTCTGCAGCACGGGTTCTAAGAGAAACCGTGCAGGATTTAATAGATTACAAACAAATCGTCAGATTGTAATGTATTGACCACACACAAATTATGAAGGTGGATTGGAGGGGGCGGGGAGGGAGACTGCCGTGGTGTAGTGGCTAGACTAG